TTTGCAAGCTAGAGTTTTGTCAAGGATTGACTACAGTAAAAAAGAAGAAAATCAGTTTTATGATTGTTTTAGTCAGAAAATTATTTCTAGTTAAAAATCACTTGGTTTTAACATTTTTGTATCATCTGTATTACTAGAGATCACTCTGAATCTTCAGAGCTTCACCTGTTCTTGCCTCTACAGAAAGTTGTAAGTGTTAAAGAGCCCAGGAACTTTCACTTTAGAGAAGAAGAACAAGAAATGGGGCCTCTGATGAGGAAACAATACAGGTTGCCAAATATCTTCATTTCCTCTTCTATAATCCAGGCATTACCTTCAGTCAAGATTTTTTGTTCTGGACAAAAACCCACAGAAATCTACTTCCTCCCTCCCTGCCCCTCCCAGCTGGGGATAATGAACTGTAAGTGTTACAATACTGAAAAGAATTAAATAGAATTACAGTCATATTATGTGAGTTAAGATATGCACAATGTATCCAAAAGACTTAATATAGTTTAAAAAAAAATCTGTGGACCTCATGGTCTTGAATGAGATTTCCACCTATATGATACATGTAATTTATTAATATTTAAAGTCAAGCCAGGATGGATTATGGTTGTTAGCATAGCAGTGACTCATCTTCTGTATATAAAGCACTACCATAAATTTAATACCATTTTTCTAGATTTCCCAGGGATCCACCATCTAATTCAACAGAAATAATTATTTCTAACTGTTTAATCCACAAGGTTCCATGCTATTTAGAAAAATAAAGAGGAAAACACTACATATATGCATAAACTCACCAAAGTGGTACTACTAAGCAACTGGAACTACTGTATCTTCAAACTTTTGAAAGACTGCGTAAATAACTGAAGGTTAAAAGTCATAGATTTGCACGCATTCTCACCCAAATGCAAAATTTTAAAAAGGGGACAAAAGTGCTTTCCTCCTTAATATTGTATCACTAACAACACTTGCAAACCCACTGGGCGTATTTTAATTTGCCAATTTAAATGATAACATTAATAGATTATTATGGACTGCATGGACATGCAGAAGACAGTTTTGCCTCAAGGGCTAAAAGATAATGGCAAACACAAAAAACCTGAGATGCCAGAACCATGTATTACAACTTGATTATTGGGATGGAAGAAGGAATATGAGAGACAATCTTATACAGATCTGATAATTCCTAATTTAAATTTGTGAAATATTTCTAAAAATAAATCACTTAGGTCTCCTCTAAAGGTGTAACAAGAAGAATTTAACCCATTAAAAAAACCAAACAAACCAACACACTATACAATCTCCACAGAAAAACTGTGCTCTTGTCACAGTTTCTTAAAATATGTGTGAGTACTGTTTTTTATTGTGAAGTTAAAGGAAAGCTTGTATTGAAAAGAATCAGAGAAATCCCTTCAAATAAAGGTTTGTTTCTAGACCTTCCRACCAATTATCCAGATTGGTGACCATGTATGTCACAGATGTTACTTCAGACAATATGTAAATGCAGGTGCACCCTTGTCTCAGACAGTTCACATAAAGCAGGTTTTTTTCTATGTGGAACAGGCACTATGTTAGTAAGTCTCAAAGATTTAAGCAGTCTTCAAATGTAGAACTTCAAACTCTGAATTTCACATATCAGTTCCTGATGTCAGCACTACAAAAGGTACTCTAAACATATCTAAGTAGCTCCAGACCACAACACTCACACTTGGCTAACACTGAGTAAGTTTAAGGCTCCAGGACTGAGCTGGTGACAACCCCAGGCAACAGATGCGCAATCTGCACTCTGGAAAGGGCTATTTAATTTGGATAGACTCAGCTTGTATCCAACGGAGTATGCTGTATATTCATACTCTTGAATCCCTGAGCTCTCAGATGTGTAGTTATACACATTAATTGCTTTATCATGCTTACTCAGTAAAGCTGAGCAGCTTTCCAGATCATTCCTCAATACCCAAATACGAGAAACCTAACCCTTCCCACAAATTGAACTAACAAATAGTTGTTRCACACAACCTTCTAATTTTAACAAGGATAAAGAAAAAAAAGATAAGTTTCTTATCACTGGTACGATGAATCACCGTGAACATCTACAGCTAATGGGCAACAYGCAAGAAAGCAACCATAATCCGTATGGTAGTTAGATGATGGAGAGAATTTCTGATTTACACCAGCAATAGCAAATTTCTTGGGTAACCAAGAACATGAACTAGTTTTGTACTTGAATTAGCAATAGAGTAAACAAGCAAAAAGAGGCTTTGTATTCTTCATACTTCTCTTGCACAAATATATCCTGAACTCACCAATAAAAGAATTGAATTTAAGAGAATTGTTCACATTTAAACTTAAAATCAGACCAACACTTTTGTGCAACTTGTAGAACTTCCTGTGCTTGGAGCCAGGTGGAGAATCAGTGTAAACTGCTTTGCAGTATGATGCTATTTCACAAAGAGAAAAATAGTATCAACACCAATGCAATAGGCAAAAGAACAATCTTGCGAAGATACCAGTTTTAGAAAAGTAAATTAAAAAAAAAAAAAGAAGAATTGCTTCACAAAAAATCAATACACTTTCCCCATAGGTTCATGATGTAAAATTCTATAATCAAGGCTTGTAGATTTGTAATTATGGTATGTCAGCCACATTTAAACAAGCATGTTAAAAGATTGTTAAAGTTAAACTAACACAATTGCAATGTGAATTGTCTTAGTCTCATTCTAATCTACTCATGTCACTTCCACTTAATCAGATGGAAACTATGGGCAAATGTCAGTGCTATTTTCATGCAACCCAACTTACTTCGTTTGGAGTGGTTTTTAAAATCATTACCAATCTGAAATGGAAATAGGATATTTCAGAAGGGTTTTGTTTTTGTTTTTTTTTTTTGCCTAATTAATTCTCTCACTATCCAGCCAGTTGTTGTTTTGATTACTGACAGTAAGACTATTCTGAAGTGATTAAACCAGAAGTATTGCTTGCTAAGACATAAGCCACAAATACAGCACACATTACTACTCATCAAACCTACTTCTTTTGAATTACAGATTATTGAAAGTATAAGATCACCAAAAGCTGGAATATCATATTAGTCAAAAAAGCAAAAGATCTCCCTATCTCTAGTTTAAATTTCTTTCACAGGTACACAGCAATGTAAGRAAAGTACAAGCAAGTACACTACCTACAACTTAAAATACAGTCTCTTGAGAGGAGTACACAAAGTATTAATGACTTAGAGCTAAAAAGAAAAATWCTAAAGCAGAATAGCTGCTTCATTCTTAGTGTGAAAAAAGTAGCTAACAAGAAAAAAGAATATGCTATGACAGATGATTAACACAAGTCAAATGAAATGTCTAAAAAGCTGTCTATATCCTAGTTCTTGACCCCTACCTTTTCTGATATATTCTTAAAGCCTGAGCACTGCACATGGCTGGAAATCAGTATTACATGCTATATTCAATGTGCTTTTCTAAACTGAAAACAAAGAAAAAAAATAATGAAAATTAACTGAAGTCAAAGTCAGTGACTTTACAGAATGCTTAATAAGCCTCTACACAAGTCTTCTCATGCACCAGGGAAAAAATATGCATACAGTTGCTCTAGTTCAAAAAAGAGGACAATGTTAATGTTCCTAAGTTGACACAAGTCACAAGTATGCACACTGTAGCAGAATGCCTAACTAGGCTTCTAGTTGGAAAAGAAGGGTGTGGTGGGACAGAGCCGTACCTCTTCTTGTATCTGTGCACAACCGTCACAGAACTAGGAGCCGCTGCTGTATCATGTCCCCACAGGGAGTTAAGATAACACACATTCCTTTTCCCATCACAGCTTTTTTATAAAGTTAACTTCATTTAGAGAATGCCAGCTGCTTCGGAGTAACTGTTGCTTACACACACACACACCACGCTGAAGCTACATTTACTGGTTTATTCATATGGACATTCTCCAAAAGCAAACCTGAATGCCGTTGACTGTATTTGTACTGTTTACCAAAACGTTTTCATCCTTTGTTCATACTACGCCTGAAATGCATACAGTTGTGTGGCTTGCTTTCATGTTCAGAGACTAGAAATTCTGAAGTGCCTTTAACGTCAACAGTGACAACTTTTCTAGTCTTCAAGTCCAACCTTTTAAAGTGAAATCAGGTATAAGAAAATGTGCCAGTCTYACTGACAGGAATTTGCTAMGTCATAACACAAAGTTGATTGTATGAAACTGCACTATTTAACATCTTCCTCCAGCATACATAATAATTCTTAATTCTTGTCTCTGCCTGAGTCAGCAGTCTTGGTAGCCTTAATAAACCCCACCGTGACCAAACAGTTCATGTCAAAGCTTTGTTTACAGCTGTAATAAGAGTGATGCTGATGGATACACTTTTCTTACAAATTATGACTCTATTAAAATTATAATAATATTAATAAAAAAATTACGGCTCAGGGAAGATGGAGGCTCTTGAGTTGAATCTACCAGGACTGCCCAGAGAGGTGGTGGAGACCCCATCCCTCGAGGTATTTAAGGAAAGACTGGACACGGCCCTTAGTGTTATGGTCCGGTTGTCAAGATAGTGGTGTTTGGTCATAGGTTGGACTCGATGATCTCAGAGGCCTTTTCCAACCTAACTGCTTCTGTGATAGCACTAGTTCTTCAACTACTGAACCAGAAATATTGAACAGCAGCTTTGCTACAAAAAAACATTTGAGACTTCATGCCTCAGCAAGATATGAGGCGAGACTGCCCGGCACACCGAGGGAGCTGGATGACTCCCCTTGATTCCCAAAACCACTGACGAAAGGGAACAAATCCCACATTTAACCGGCKTCCCGGAAAAGCGCGGCCTGTTTCCAACGGCGGTACGCGAGGGGGAAGAGCCTGTGCCAGGGCCGCTCTCGAGCACAGCCCGCCAGCCCCGCACAGCACCGCCGGCCCCGCGCCAGGCACAGCCGGTCCCGCACGGAGCCCCGCTGCAGCCCCTCCGCCCGGCCGCTCCGGGCCGTGCCCCAGCCGCCACTCACCGCCTCACGACGCCGGTCTTGATCTTGATCTGCCTGAGGCGCGGGTCGGCCATGGCGGCGGGCGCCGTGACTGCGCAGCCCCGCGCTGCGCATGCGCCGGACCGCCAGGCCGGGCGGCACCACCGGAGCGGGGCGGGCGGGCACCCCCSCACAGCGCAGTGGAGATGGCCGGGCTGCGGGCTGGCCCGGCGGGATTGTTCGCAGAGGCGGAGGGAGGCGCGAACTCGCCCTTGGGGCTGTGGCAGGGTCTGTCCCGACCGTATCATGATGGGGCAGGCGTGGAGAGTGAGCGGCGCCGCCCGTTCTCGACGCCTGGTAATGTGGTCCGGATGATTAACASTATTCCACAAGACAAGCAGCAATTCCCTGGTGTTGTGTTTGTGCATTTTCGCCACGTTATCAGGCCTTCAAGGTCCTGTGCACCAAGGAGACAAAACATTTCTTTTTCCCATTACAACTGACCTCAAGTTATCTCGGCACCAGGGCGATCTCTCCCCTCCTTCCCTGCCTTCATGTTCCAACACCCAGCCAGCCCAGATCTGTCGATGACACTGTAGCAGCACTGGGAACCTGCAGCCCCAGAGCACTGCCTGTACAGCCCAGAGCACTGCCTGTACAGCCCCCGAGCACTGCCTGCCTGTACAGCCCCAGAGCACTGCCTGTACAGCCCAGAGCACTGCCTGCACAGCCCCAGAGCACTGCCTGTACAGCCCCCAGAGCACTGCCTGTACAGCCCCCAGAGCACTGCCTGTACAGCCCCCAGAGCACTGCCTGTACAG